CTCACTCTGTCGCCCGGGCTGGAGTGCCGTGGTGCAAGCATGGTTCATTGCAGCCTTGACCTCCTGGGCTCAAGCAATCCGCTTGCCTCGGCTGCCCGACTAGCTTGTACTACAGGTGTGCGCCTCCACGCCTCGCTCATTTTGGTAGTTTTTTGTAGAGATGGGGATCTCACTATGTGGCCCAGAGTCGTCTCAAACTCCTGGCTCAAGCCATCCTCCCGCCTCAGCCTCCCAAAATACTGGGATTACAGGCATGAGTCACCATGCCAGGCCAACACTCTTGCTCTTAAAGGGCCAAACAGTCAGTATTTTAGCTTTGCAGACCCATCATTCTATTGTAACAACTCTGCCAGACTGTGTTCCTGTAAAACTTTATGGACACAGATGGTGAATTTCACGTCATTTTCATGTGTCATGAAATAGTATTCTGCTTTTGTATTTTTTTTTCAACCACTTAAAAACACAAAAAGCCATTTTTAGCTTGCAGGCTGTACCAAAGCAGGAAGCAGGCTGGGTTCGTCCTGTGTGCCCTTTTGCCCCGTGTGCCCTTTTGCCCCATGTGCCCGTTCGTCCCGTGTGCCCGTTCGCCCACCCCTGGCCCAGTGAATTACTGGCAAAGAGACAACTGCATGACCCTTTCTTCGCTAAAGCCTCTTCCTGCTTGCACAGCCTTTTATAGTTGATAAGGGTCATTCTGATGGCTCTTGTTGGTGAGATGGGCAGCCCCATTTTACAGATGAAGACACAGACCCCAGAGAGGAAGTGACTTACCCGTGGTCACTCACCCACCCCAGGCCCCTGCCTCCCTCTTCCACCCCACACTACTAGCTACTCGCCCATGGCCTGGAGCTGGTAGGGTTTTCCCAAGGGATGTCCTGCCTAGTGATCAGCTTTGCAATATATCTGGCTCGTAGACTGCGGTGGTAGGCATTGACATGGATATCCTAGATTCCTCTGGGTTTTCCTTCTTCAAAGTCCTTTTAAACTTGTCACAGAAATCTGCTTCACATATGTCTGAGTCAGCGGGACGGTGGGATAAAGTGCCGGAATATCCCAGAAGTCCTCCCTCCAATTGCCTTTTGGGTCCTGCTGTCATTATCAGTAGGACCTTTGGAAGGACTTCTTGGTTCCCTGGCCCATGTCTTAGGGAAGGGATTGTTGCTGCATTTTGCAGTCATTTATTGGGCACTTGTATGAACTAGAGATGGCCAAGCCCAAGCTCATGTCCTCCTTCAGGAAGCCTTCCTGGGTTGTCCTAGGAGAATCAACAGCCCCTCCCCTGCAGCCTCACTGTCCCTGAGCAGACACCTGAGGGGTGGTGAGTTCCCTATCACTAGAGGTATGCAAGTGGTGCTCCAAATATAATTAGATGAGATTGCCTATAATCCCAGCACTTTGGGAGGCCGAGTCGGGTAGATCACTTGAGGTCAGGAGTTCAAGACCAGCCTGGCCGACCTGGTGAAACCCCGTCTCTACTAAAAATACAAAAAATTAGCTGGGTGTGGTGGTGCATGCCTGTAATCCCAGCTACTTGAGAGGCTGAGACATAAGAATCCCTTGAACCTGAGAGGTGGAGGTTGCAGTGAGCCAAAATTATGCCACTGCACTCCATCCTGGGCAACAGAGGAACTCTGTCTCAAAAAAAAAAAAAAGCTGAGATTTATGCAGCGTTTTCAGTCTGCGTCGCCACACCCCATCAGGCTTCCTGCATTGTTTTCTGTTCTCTCTGCCGTTGGCTTCTCACCCTCCAGACGGTCCCGCCGGGCCATCCCTTTTAAGGGTGAATGAATTTGCGCACAAGTGTTCATGGCCTCCCTGCTGAGAGTGCTTGCCTCACCAAAGGGCCCCTGCCACGGGTGGCAACTAATGAAAGCCACTGGACGCTCAGTGTCAGGGTGGACTCTGCCGCAGCTGCCCTCCGGGCTCCTGGAGACTCTGGAAGCCGCTGTGACCGCTCCCATGCCCCTCCTCTCAGAGTTTTAAAAAAATGAGTAAATTAGCACTTCTGGAGAGATGCTTTAAGACTATGTAAATATCCTGCCGCTTGTCAAAATAGTTTTCACCTTCACTGCTGCTTCTTGGCTTAATTGTTCTCCGATGGCAGCCAGTGGTGGTCCGAGGACCAGTCAGCATCTGACTAAGGGAAGAGCTTTTTCTTCCCTTGCTTATTTTCTCAGTATGGACATGTGTAAAATTTCCTGTTTTATTCAGTGGGCTACAGTCCATTACCATCATATTTTAACGATCAAATTTTCCCACGTTTGCCCTGTAGGTGCCCCTTTAAGCACCCCTGGCTCCTCCAGGGACCTGTAGGTGCCCCTTAAGCACCCCTGGCTCCTCCGGGGACCTGTAGGTGCCCCCTTAAGCACC